TATCGAAATCTTAAAAAGTACTTTAAACTGTATAAATTCAATTGAAATCGATCGGCCAATCACGTGAAAGTCCTCCTATGACACAACGATATGGTTAGAATGCATATGTGTGACTTGCCAAAAAAGGAAATCTTAGATAAATCAAAATTCTCTACTAAATTAGCGGGTCTCCCCAGATTTACTACTGAAAAACAATTATCTGATATTGATCGTATGGTCAATGCACTTTCTTGAGTCATACCTAAGGCATGCTCTAACTACAGCAACTTACAATACGCTTTCTTTTATTTCGCTTCTGCTGATAATGTAGAAGCAGCTCTCAGTAATGAAAATTTGACTATCAATGGCAAACACGTGACGTGGACCGCCTCCAACACTAAGCTTTGCGCTATTTGCTTCTCTTCACACCACAAAGCCAGTGACTGTCTTAAGAGAAGGAGATGACCAACCGACCGTAATGTGCAAAATCTCTATCAGAGATTCCAACCTGCCCAATTCTCTAATTATAAAGTTCCCAAAAAATGAAGGGCGCAGTACACCTCGCTGTTACATTCGCAAATGTCGCAAAGGGTATAAGCGAAGAGAGAAATGACTCACCTTCACATTCTAACTCTCATTCAAATGATCAGTCTAGGAAAACAAACCAACCTGCAACACAACACTCTAAAGGAGGGCGTGATAATAGCTTATGGGCGAATGACATCCCTCCTGGACTCGACGAGAATCGCCTTTTTGACCAAACTAACTGCCCTACACCTAGTGTTAATCTAGCTTTGGGCACAAAAGCTGGTGGCTTTATGCATGCTGAAAACACTGAGGATATCAAAGCATTCATCACATCCCAGTTTCACAACTTAGAATCTGCTATGACATAAATGATGAAATCGTTGGCATTCACAGTCAAAAGAGTCGAGTCTTTAGAAAGATCCTTGAACATTACAGTTATCACTCCCTTGGAAGCTGAAACTCAAAACTTGCAAACTGATAAAATGGAAGAAGACAATGAGGCGTCAATTGATACTTCAGCCTCACTCATTTCCTAACAACAGAAAACTATCGATAAATTACGAGACATTAATCAGATGCAAAATCAGCGTCTCAAATCTGTAACCTCAATCATCAATACCTTGGTTAAATCATGTTTCTCATTCCAATTGACTTTGGTTGAGCATAATCTACTTCCTCCTGATCAAGCCAATAATATCTTTGCCCTCAGTGCAGCATTCGATCAAGAGATTGAAAACTTCACCAAAGACCTTCTTCATTATTAATTCATCATGAATACTGTCACTACTAATGATATTGCACAAGATGCATAGCCTCCCATCATTAATTCTCAATTATTACCCATTCCTTCAATTTTCTTTGCCACCCACAATGTTCGTTCCTTTGCTAACCTCGCTAAACATAACGTACTTTTAGAACTTTACTCTTTACTCAGTATTGACATTATAGGACTATAATAAACTAACTTTTTAACACATAGCAATAAATCGTTTAACAACAACTTTTCTAATAGATTTACTGGTTTCTTTAATTCACAACCGCCTAACAACTCACAAACTACTGGTTTTGGTGTTGGTCTTATTCTGACTACCAACTTTGCCAACCATGTTTTCCATCACGACTCATTCCTCAATCGTATCATTTTAGTTGATCTTCAATTCGCTAACAGGCAGAAACTTCGGATTATCAACTGTTATGTCCCACCAGCTGATATCGCTACAAAAAAACTGGTTCACTCAGAATTAATTAAATTAATTAGAACAGCTTATTCAGATAACTTCCACGTCATTTTGTTAGGAGATTTCAATGCTGATCTGGATAAACCCAACTCCGCAATTATCAACAAAAATTTTTTCGCAAAACTGCAGCACTTGAATCTTTTCGATTCCTTTATTATCAAATACGACAAATACAGAGTTGACTATCCTACCTTCAAGTCGCATAGCTCGATGTCCCGCATTGATTACATTTGGTCTTCTGTTGATATTGTATCCAACCTGTTACATTGTTTTACTACTGAAGTCTCTTCTCAGCTCTCGGATCACCTCATTGTCTCGTTCAAAATTGATAACTTTTTAGAAATCAAACATACAAATCGTAAGATTTCACTCAAAAAGGTGTACGACTTCGATAAAATGACTCCCGACAAATGGACCATATATGGTGATAAAGTTGACGCACTTACCAATGGCTGTGAACTCACTACCCTTACTCATCAGACAGTTTTCACACAAAATCGATTGAACTGCGACTGGGATCTACTTCAAGCGTATTATTAAGGCGACTGATGTTTCTATTCCCTCGCATAAGTCGAAAGGCCAGTATAAAATGAAGCGACCGCTTATTTTACTCAAACTATACAAGAATGTTCATTTCGTATACAAGTTCAAAAGATCTATAAGACGCGCCATTCGCTCATCAGTTATCCCAGAGAACTGGATCACAGAGAGTGTTCGTTTCTACAATGTTTTGCAGGATTACAACATTGCGTTCACTAGTATTCCTCCATCGCCTGATATTAGTCTCCTTCATTTGTTAACTGGGTTAATCAATTTATTACTTACAACACTCCTAGTCAAAGTGAAACTTCACGAGCACGAACATAAGCTCAGATCCATATAACAATCCATTGAAATTCGATTGGAAAATTATTATGTTGCACCGTCGAAAATGACTGACTTCATATTGGAACGGTCCAAACGAACACTTATCTTAGACTGTTGTCTGGATAACTCGTCTCGTGCATTCCTAACCGATGAAGAGGAGGTAAAATCTGAAGTGGCTTGACACTTCCAGATGGCTGTAGGCATATCTCATGAAGAGGTTGCCCTTGACGAAGACTGGCTTCCCTTTTACCAACCAGTTGATGACCTTGATAAAAACATTTACAACAAACTTATGACCCTTCCCTCGGCAGAGGAATGGTACAACATTGTCAATTCGTTACCTAATGAAAAGGCTCCAGGTCCATCTAAAGTCACTAACGAAATGCTTAAACATTTCGGTCCTACATCCAAGAGACTATATTGGTATATCATTTGTGGCTGTCTTATGCTTTCTTCGCTTCTGCATCGTTAGAATCATGCTTTTATATATCCTATACCAAAACCTAAACCATAGGAGTATGATCTTAATAACACACGACCCATTATATTGCTAGAGTATCCTCGTAAAACACTCATCAAGTTATTTAACCGACGTTTGTCGACCATTATGGTTCAGCATAATGTCCTTAAGGGTCTTAACTTTGCTGGTTTGCCCTTCAAGTCCACTTTCGAACCTTTGCATATTATTGATAACATCAAATATAACGCAAACTATAACAAGCGTGACTTATGGTCTTTATTGCAAGATATGTCAAAGGCGTATGACCGTGTGAACCTTTTCATGCTAATCCGTGTTCTAGAATGACTCCACATTCCCTTTAACTTTATTCGCTTTATTTTGAAGCTATTCGGTAATCGCTACAACCAAACTTTCACGCTCTTTAGTAACACTGACCCATATCATGTGGTGTCTGGTATTGACCAAGGTGAAATTCTCTCACCCTTGCTCTGGTGTATATATTACGATTCTCTCCTTTATAGGGTGCAACACTCAGAATATGGATATTCTCTCTCGCACAGATGGACACCTAATGTACAAAACAGGGACACCGAACTCTTAATGTCTAAAGTGGCAATGCTTGCCTTTATAGATGATACATTATGGATAGCAAAATCCTGTGAAGACCTCGTCAATATCATCAACATTGCAGAAAGTTTCTACAAACTGAATTTCATTAAGGTTAATTGGGACAAATCGGTCCTCCTTACCAATGACAAATCCAATGATGCCCCTTTGATTGTTTCATTAATAATTCACCCACCCAGCTGGAGCCCATACTGATCAATGACTCTACTAGATACCTGGTGTTTAGATATCGTTAGGAAAAAACAAATTCTTCACTATAAAGATGGCCAAACAAGATGTTAAAAATACGATCTTCATCTTGTTCAAAAAATGCTTAACAGATAAACAATTGACATACATATATAACATGGTTATCATTCTAAGGATCGAATATCATACACAACTGACCGCTTTTACAGAATAACAGTGTAACATGATCAGTTCACCATATAGATCATTCATAAAAAAGAAACTTTATCTCTCCCGCTCCACTCCCTTCTCGGTTCTATACTCACGTTCATTTTATAACCTCACTAACCTACATCACAGACTCATGGCAGCTCACAGTGAAGCACTTCTCTATTCCCTGAACGATAATAATCTTTTAGGCTCTATGACAAATATAAGAATCAAGGAACTACAACAAAAGGAATGGCTTCATCAGTCGCCTCTCATTCACTGGCCTTATTCAAAACAAACCAGAAATACTGACTGGATCTCTAATGTCATTTGTGATTGGAAATGCTCTAATATTTCTATTCAGATCCCTCAACGTAATCACAATGTCATCACAGGTGACAATATCACGATCCAGTCCTTAGTACCAGATATCTATAGAAGGATTGCCTCAGGCTTAAGACAATACTCATTAATGTTCGCAGAACAGATTGCCTATTCATATGGATGGTCTATGTTCATGTTTTCAGACCTGTCTGCACACCAAACTTCACCCCTGACCAGTGCTGTACCTTTATGGTTTAAAACTTTAGAATCACATCTTTGTGAAGACATTCCAAATCGTAAATTCATTCGCTCACTTCTGCATAGTAATGAGTTTTCAATAGATTTAACTAAACTATCAAAACTTCCTAACAAACAATCTTTCGTCCTTGGTTGGAATTTGGATGCTAACCAACCTTTCATTGGCAATTTTCTAAGAATAATTGACAATACAGCACATGTTTAGCACATGACTCTTTCACATAACCAACACCGTTGAACACTCCTATCCAACTGCTCGCAATGTGGACTTCACAGTCCTGGTACTTCCATTTCCTTCAACATTGCCAATATCTCAAAAAAATGTTTTATGAACCTCCCATTAAATTTGTGCTTCCAGATTCCAGTTTACAATGATAGGTCTGAAAGTATTCCCATATGCTCCTGGTCCATAGACCTACTTCAAGACCTGGTAAATTTGTTTTTTAAATATAATATTTCTCTCCAAAGACGTGACCCTGTACTTCCTTTGATTCTATTGACCCTTCCCACTTTTATAGAAAAATTCATTCTGCTAACTCACACTTCCAAACTACTCACTTTACATTCTCATTTTAGCAATTTTAACTTTTTAGAATTTTACATAGATGGTTCTCTCATTGATCTGGGATTGCCCTCCATTAGAATGGGTCTCGCTTGGATCCAAACTGCAACATCAGCACCCTTGCTCTTATATTCCTCTGCTTATACAGCTTCTTCTCTGTCCTCTTCAGCAGCTGAGTTATACAGCCATTCTCGTTGCTCCAAAGAACTGCAGAATTAATATATTTACTGACTCTAGCACAATGATTTCACAATTTAACAAATATAAACAACTCTCAATATATTTACCATTCTAAAGACCCTTTCTAAAAATTGTTAATGTGCATATCTGGCATTGCCTATTCCAAATTATCAACACTCTATCTCTTAAGATTTCACTGAAGAAAGTCAAGGCCCACTCCAGTAATACGTATAATGAGAAAGTCAATCAACTTGCTAAAAGCTCGTTGGACTCCTTGGCCTTACAACTTATCGTTAATAATCAAACTCACACCGCATTATACTACAACCATATGTTAATCGTTTCACCTATAAGATCTTTTATAAATGAAATCAAAAGGGCGTCATCTTTTAGTGACTTTCTTCACCTTGCCATCATAGCATAGTATGACACTCATGATATCAATTGGATTGCTACTTCAAAATGCATTTCTGATAATATCGCCCTGTCAGCAACATCCTTCACGGCATCAGCTATTAGGTCGAAAAAAACTAGGCGTCTTTTAGAATTCCTCCCAACACTTGAAGTCCTCAAACTTCGACATCCATCACTGTTTGATAGTTCCTTGAATTGCATCCGTTGCAACGCGAAATCTGAAACATTTTCACACATATGGATCTGCATTTCTGTTCTACAGGAAACAGGGTTAGACCAATAACTAAATCACTAAATAAATTATTAAGTTTATTCATCATTGGCTATTGGTTTATTGGCTCTTTCCAATAAATCATAAATATATTATTGGGGTTTATTTGATTATATCACATGATTTGCATTCATTTTCTAAAATCGAAACTTAAAATTTTATTAAAAAAAAAAATATTTATATTTATTATATTAAAATATAAATCAAATTAATACTATTGATATATTATTATTAATTATTGATATTATTATTATTAATAAAATTCGGAGCTTCTTATCCTTCTGAAAATAATTCAGATAAACGCCATTTTGAATTTTGATCATATGCAGGGTGTACACCTTCGGATGTTGGAATATTAAAAATTATATTATAATTGTCTTGATCAATATCATCACTTATTTCTTCATTCACCAAGACAATCCAATGTTGAATTGTTGTTCTCCATGTTAACTTTATATCTTCTGATGATGCTTGATCCTCATCATTTTCACTTGCTTCATTTTCACTTATTGAACGAGATTCATCTTCAAATAAATCCAAATTATTTTTATTTTGTAAATTTGAAATTGAAGTTAATTTTTGAGATTGAAGTTTTGCTCGTGTCATTTTTCCGCATAGTTGACTCATCATAAGAACTTTATTATACTATAATTGTTTAATATATTAATAAATTTTGATTTTAAAATAAATTAAATAAATTAATATAAATAAAATTAAACCTTAAGACAGCTACGGCTAGGACTATGTATATTTTTCATAGACGAAAATAATCGTTCTACAGATGCAGAATTAATACATACACCAAAAATTCTACATGCTACTAAGCAAGTTCACTTCCATCTTTTCCGATTGAATTCCAATACTTTAATACATCACCTTGAAATTGATTATAAACTGTAGCCTGATATGGAAATTCTTGTTCATTATAATTTTCAAATTCAAGAAGTATTTGTTGAGGTTCTTTTTCAAACCATACTTTATAATAATAAATAAGCCAACCTTTAATATAGCGTGAAACTTTTGAACGAATATTTTGATTAATATTAGTTTCGCGATAAATTGGATGAAGCCAAAAAGAAAGTAATAATAAAGGTTGCTCCCATTGTGCCCAATGTCTTTCCAAACGATTAATCATTTTTCTTGAAAATTCTATATTATTGTGACAATTATATAGCTTATAAAAATATCCAAAGCAATGTAAAACTTCATATAATTTTGCTGCATCTTGTTGAAGTTTATCAAGTGCATTATATAAAGGAATTAAATGATCTCTAAGAGTTACCAAATTAGACCAAAATTCATCATCCTTAATTATATTACAAATAGAAGCTTTTAAAGGTTTATCCTGGGTTGATAAATTTTCATATTTAGTAACAAGAATCTTAAGTGCAATTTCAGTTTTAACTAAACTATTAAAACATATGTAATAGCTATTCCATCTTGTTACATATGGATGTTGTAAAGCAATTACTTTATTATAAATTGACTTTTGTTCTTCACGGAGTTTTCCCAAGAAATAAGATGAAGTATTAAAAAATAAAACTAATTCTATTGCTTTAGTTGATACTTCACGATAATCTGAAGATTCTTTGAATATTTCTCCTACAACTAGATTAACTTGATGCGCAAAACAAGGTAAAAATAACAATTCGCAATGTTTTTGACGTAAATATAATCTAGCTGCAGTATATGCACTAGCAGAATCTGTAACTATACAAATAATTTTTAACCCTTTTTTTTTATTTTCATCTAACCAGGTTTCTATTTGATTAATAGCTTCTTCAGATCTTGATCGTTCAGCAGAAATATCCTTTGCTTCTCATACAATACTACGTCCTAATAATGTAATTATTATAGTTCCAAGAATTGACTACTTAACTACATTCTTCCAACCATCGAATGCAACTGTAAGACCAATTTTTTCTGATTGTGCAATTGATTCAAGTGATAATTTAATATCTTTTGCTATGTCTTCCAAAATGTTTCCAGCTAGATTTTTTCTTGATGGTAAAGGTAATGCTGGATTGGCAAAATGAATCATTTCTCATGCTTCATCATTTTCCACCCACCTAAATGGCCAACCACAAGATACAGTAGCTCTTAATACAAGATTATACCAATGTTTAGTACTTTCGGTGGTAAGTTGTCGAGGCATATAAAAAAGAATACTATCATTACTTGGTTGAGTATCAGTAAAAGTAGGTTGTGTAGGTTGTGTAAATTGTGTAGATAAAGATCTTGTTGAATCAATACTTGGTAGTGTAGAAACTAATGAAGTTGCATCTTGATTATCATCATAATCTTCTCTTGAACATTTTTTACTAGCTCATGCTTTTTTTAACCGTTTTTAACGATCATCTTCTTGTTCTTGAAGAATGCTAGCATATATAGAAGCCCATTCTTCTTCATTAAATTGAGCCTTAAATCGTAAACAATCTCTTAAATGGTTTCGACATTTTTCTCTCTTATTATTCATTTCTTCAACTATCAATGATGGATCATTAGCATTAATACAAGCTAAACATTTAGCAGTCTTATATGTTTTATTCTGTTTTTCATTCGAAATATAGAAGTAACCAGTCCATTTGTGTGGTGATTTACCACTGTGTGGTTTTTTTGACATTATTAAAAGTTTTGATTAAAACGAAAGTATAGAAGTAAAAAGGAAAGTAAAAAAATTGTGGGGTAACCCGATTGATAATATTAATTATAAAATTTAAGTACAAATACTAAATTAATCCCGCAGTATTATACCGATACCATATTATTTTTTTAAATAAAAAAATACAAAAAAACTTTCCGAAAAATTAACATTTAAGAGGAATAATAATTCCCTACGTGCCAGTTTTTTTTTCCTCTGATAATACACAGAAAAAAGTTAGGCAACCTTTTTTTCCCTCCTTTTGAATTTTACAAACGAAAAAAAGGTAATTAACAAAAAAAAAAACTTTTTTTCCTTGAAAAAAAAAAAAACTTTATTTTGGTTACATTAGTGTTACATCTTGATTGATAATCAATTTTTTAAACGACGTTAGACAATAAACTCCAATAAACTTCAATAAATGATCAGCCAAATTAAAGTTTATTGTGTTTATTAGAACAAGTAGCCAATTTACGTCTCAATAGCTAATAACTAAATAAACTATCACTGACTTATATTATTATTGGTTATTGATTATTGAGGTTCAATAAACTCGTAGCCAGACCAACCCTGACAGGAAATGCACAAAATTATAAATGATTCAAAATCACATTTATGTGAGCTGCTTGATTTACTAGCCTATCACTCAGAGGTTGATCGAATGCCCTTTTGGCTACTCTCCTCACTTACAAGTTACTCCTTTATAGAACTTATCAAAGGATTAATTCCTAGGTCTCTCTATACATTAGTTCAAGATCACCTTGGTATAACTGAAGCTACGGTGGCGGCACTCTCCAACTTCATGCATTTTGTCTTCGAACAAACACAAGAAGTCTGGATTACTAGATGTTTATTAATCAAGGATTTTGAAACATCACACAATATCAACGATCAATTAAAAAGATCGCACACCGAAGCCACAGGATATCCGTCTCAGAAGTCAAGTGAATATATTAATCCTCATTCCTTCATAGATTGTATGGTCCATTTAGGGTTATACTAGTCAAATTTTTGGTGCAGTAGGGTTTAAGCTCTTTCCTTTTTCTAGTTTACTGAAAGGTGATAATGTAATCTAGGTTAGATTTGATTCTAGAAAAGTGCAGGGTCGGTCTTGATTTAGATAGTTCATAATTATTTAGATAGAGATTTTTGTAAATTCTGATTATTTGTATTTTTTATATTTACTATCAATAAAGTTTTTGCGAAACTATCGCACTTAAAAAAAAAAAAAAAAAATTTTTGAAAAAAAAATTTACTGGAAGGTGATAATGTAACTTAGGTTAGATTTGATTCTGGGAAAGTGCAGGGTCAGTATATAGGGAATTTTGAGAAATCTGGGACAGATCAATCAAAATGCCTTCTTGGTACTCAAATTCACCTACAAACTCTAGTTTGCTATATGATTTCCACTATCAAATTTAAACCTCTAGCGCCTTTTGACTCAATTCTAGATGATGATATCGAATTTGTCTAGGAATTAGCCTATCTGATATCAAGAACTGCATTGATTGATATAACTATTCTAGATTGATTTTAATACCAAATAATATATTAAAAAATTTTTTACTATTCTGCTTGCCTCTGGAGGGTTCAGCGAAAATCAAGGAACAAAGTGACGCAATTTGAGCTGGACTTGACTTTGCAAACCCAAATTTAATAATCATTTATGCTATTCTGCTTGTCTCTAGAGGGCTCAGTAAAAAATCAAGGAACAAAGTGATGTGATTTGAGCTGGGACTGACTATGCAAGCCTAAAATGCATACCATATTCTAAGTCTCACCTCTAAATGCGGAAAAAATTAGAATAAAAAGCTAAAAGAAGCATAAAATGCATATATTATAATCAAATTGCCTCTTAATAGCATACTGCTTAGGTAGCAAAAGAGAAACAAGCATGAGGAGGAGTGGAGCGATGATGAATGCGCGTTCGATATAAGAGAATAAGTATGAGCTGGCAAAGCCTTTTAGGACAATGCCAGTGAATACGCATTCGACCATATGCTACCATATTCTTATGTATGCTATATATGAGGCAAATATGGGTGGTAATAAGTGGACAAATGGTAAGCAAATCACCTTCTAATAACATACTGTTTGGGTAGCAAGAGAAAATAAGCATGAGGAGGAGCGGAACAATGATGAATGCGCATTCGATATAGAAGAATAAGTATAAGCTGGCAAAGCCCTTTAGGGTGACGCTAGTGAATACGCATTCAACCATATGCTATCATATTCTTATGTATGCTATATATGAGGCAAATATGGGTGATAATAAGTGGGCGAAAAAAATCAGAATGAAAAGTTAAAAGAAGCATAAAATGCATATCTTATTCTAAATCTCACCTCAAGTTGCATCTCTAAATCGCACCTTTTATCAAGTTTAATCTTTGAGCTTTATCCCGCAATTTATTATAATATTGCATTACATAATATTCTCTAATATATTCAGCATACCGTCTACAAGCTGTAGCAGTAGGCTTACCACATTCAGAGTATGACCAGTGCTTCCTAGTTTTAAAATGCAGTTGGCATCCCTCAGGACAAGTGCAGGCTTTACCACAAGTCTTACCAGAGTTATGAAGATAGTCACAAGTATAAGATGCCTTCATTTACAATAGGGATGAAAAAATTTAATTAAACAAATTTATCTGCAATATAGAAAAATGAACGGCAGATATACCTTCTTATATAATGAATACGCAAATTCAATTATCTGATAATAAAACCACATATCAGGAAGTAGAGCAAGCATTAGTAAATGTAGTCAAGGCTGGCATTTATTATAGACCAAAAGATGGCAAATTCATGCAATCATATAAAGAAAGAATCAAAAAATTACGCCAGGTAGAAGATCCTCAAGAATATGTATTAAAAGAATTAGCACTTACAATATTTCTTAATGAGAATAAGTATAAGTCAATTATGAATGATTATAAAGACTGATATGGAAAAAATCCTAAAATTCTTAATGCCATCATGGAACTATATAAATTATACTATAATTTAGCTAAGGATTATTTTATTACTGATAAACAAGTTGATGAAGAGACAGAAGACTTCCTATCATCACTCTAAAAATCTAATTATTAAGTACCTATTAAGGTGGTAATTGCATATCCTTTATGATTTGAAGTTCTTCTTGAACAAAAGATCTTTTAGGATATTTTAACACATAATCATCATCATCAATTAACCCAAAGGGAACTTCTTCCAGCCAATACAAGATCAGCTGATTTTTTTGTACCATAGATTGACAAATATGATAAATATGTGGAGACCAGTTCAAATCACCAGCACGACGTCTTCCTCCTTCCTGATCACTAGGATATAGTAAATATCTTACAAGCACATCACCAGAAAGCTTCTCTTCATCAAAGCCTACAGGATTATCTTGAGAATAAGAAGACTTAGAGTAATACTTTTTCTTTTGATTACTTCAGCAGGTGAAATACCAAGATGGTGTGTGATAGAATTATAAATATCTTTTACTATTGTAGCAATAACATTTGATAAATCTTTTATTAGAGTCTCTAAGCTTTCATATTGGATTGAATCAAGAGGATGAGAAAAAGTAATCAATAAACCTTTTCCATCAAGAATACGATGAAAAATCTCAGTAAATGTTCTATTATATCTTTCGATAATACTCATATTATTTTTAGACAGCCTTCTGAATTTTTACGTCATGCTTTCTTAGTATTTTTTCACATTCGCCTTTGAATTTAGACCCCTTATCTGATAGAAATACTTTGGCCAAATAAGAGGGTTTTCAGGGTCATCATAAATTTTTTCTAAGCATTTTGCAATTGTAGATGAAGTTAAAATACCTTGCATATTCTTAATACTCTTGGCAGGTCACCTAAGTGCTACACCAATAGGAATAGATATTTTATATCTTGAAGCTACATCAACTAAGTTAAGATAAAAAAAATAAATTGTTTGTTTAGACTTAACATGTTGTGTATAACGAACATCCGCTTGGTGTAATTCATTAGGAGTAGTAATAGAAGTAATAGAGCTAAAACTTACTCAAGGAATATATCTAGGATGAGGTTTATGTATCTAGTATACAACCTGTCTTTCAAGCCAATCCTTCACCTCTTCTAGAGTAAAATTGAACCCAGCTTTTAGAAAAGCTTCATGCAATTTTTTCGCAATCCTTTGATAGTCCGAAGGCTGGTAATAAATCTTTTGCAAATTAATAGATATATCTAAATTTCTAGCTTTACTCAAATCTATTTGTATAATAGGAATCAATGTCATAGATCTGGCTTATATTGAATCCTTGATACTAATAAAGAGTTGCGAAAAAAATTGGCAGATGAAATAGTCTCAAATGATATTTTCAATAAAAAGCTTAAGACTCTTAACAAGAAGCTAGATGCATGTTATAAAACTATATCACAATAAGACTCTACAATCTTAATTCATGAAGATGAGATAGCGTCTCTTAAAACTAAAATCAAATCACTTAAACAGCGTCTTCACAAAGCATTGCAGAATTTAAGACCTAAAGGTAATGCTAGTACTGCACTAGATATCCATATTTTGAGGCTAGAAGACAAGATTAATCAGCTTAAGATCCGTATTTATAAAATAACTGGTCTAAGTCATAAAAAAGTTTCAAATAATAAAGAAATATTAGATATGGAGCATATAATA